TAAGGAAGACAGAAGAAGAGTTGATGTTTTTGCATTGTGGTGTTGGCAGAGAATTCTGAAATTACCATGGACTGTCAAAAGAACGAACAAATTTGTCCTGCATGAAATGCAGCTGGAATGCTCCTTGGAAGCAAGAATGGAAAGACTTCATCTTACCTGTTTTGGTCATGTTGTCAGAAGGAGCCATTCCCTGGAGATGGGATATCATGCTTGGTAAAGTGGAATGTCAATGAAGAAGGAGAAGGCTCTCAATAAGATGGAGTGACATAGTGGCTGCTATGGTGGGCTCAGGTAGAGCAAGGATTGTGAGCCTGGCACAGGACCGTCCAGTGTTTCATTTTGTTGTACATAGGGTCCCTATGAGTTGGATATGAATTGAGAGCACCTAACAATAACAGCAGCATTATTAGTCCTTTTAGGAGTATCTTTTATATAAATATAAATCTTTTTCTACATTTCTGATGACTTACTTGTCAATAAATTCTTCAATACCGAATTACTTGATTAAAATATAGAAACTTTTTAAAAAGGTCTTTCATCCATAGTTCTAAATTACTTTTCACAAAGTTTATATTAACTTACAATTCCACCAGCAAAATACAAAATGACTATTTTTTTCCCCTGGTGTTGGATTAGATTTCAATATGCAGCTCTATGTTGTGTAAAAGGGACGTGAAGGTGCTGTCTTACACTGTCAGTCATTTTTAGGGGTATCTCTAATACTTTATTTTTGTGAAATCTTTTAACTTTTGTTTGTAGTGAATTTATAATTTTTAAATAACAATTTTTCCTGCTTATTAGTTCATTCTTAATTATCTACCCAAATGGAGAAGTAATCATACCAATGTGGGAAAAAAGGACAAAGTTAACTCTAATTTTACCAAAAAAATTCAAAATTCCTTTCCAATAATATTTACCAGAGTTACTTATAAGAAAACTTACCAAGTACCGGTATGTCCTTTCATTATAACCTTGTAAGAATATATTGCTTTTGGACAAGTTTGAAATGAGAAACTAAAACTAGAAGGACTAGGAAGGAAAAAATTAAAAACCAGAATTTCATAAACTAGATAGAAGCTAACATATTCAAAGAGCCAGGGTACAAAATGAAGTTTTTATTTTCTAACAAAATGAATTTTAAGATGAGAATATCTAAATGCAGATTCACTTTGAAAGACAAACAAGAGAAGGGAAGAAGCACTGATGGCTTGTACGAAAAGATTAGAGATGAATTGAGAAGAAGAAAAGAGCAATATAAGAAACAATGTGAAGTGAAACGAGAACTTGAGCTGTCTGTGAGGACCCTAGATACGGAGTTGAAGACTGTGAAAAATCATTTGAATCAGATCAGTTAATCTTTGGTAAAAATGTCTTCTGACTTTATTTCATCCGTTGATTTATTTTATATTGTTTAAGATAAACCAAAAGTGTTTCTGCTTCCTAAATATGAACTATAACATTATAGCTAAAACAATTAATTTATTGTTTTAGCTATAATGTTATAGTTCATATTTATTGTTCTCAGTGTATGTTTTCTGAATGAAGTGATTAAAGGTCAAGGTAAATTGAATGTAATCATTGACATAAATCCTAATTTTGGCATTTTTATGTTAAAATATATGTCAAATAGCTATGTGCTAAAGAGGCAAGGAAGCCACATCTCCTGACTTCCTCTAACCGAACAAGAGGAAGAGAGAGTCACCATCATTAGTAGCCCAAGGCCTATTCCTGGGTGGCCAAACATACTGCCTTCCTCCAGCCCTTTCACCAACCCTGACACCAACCATTCCTTCCGAATCACTAATCACCTTTCTCCTGGATTCAATAATTCACTGAAGTGGCCACACAGAACTCACAGATTATGGGGTTTATTAGGGAAACACCAGGCTACAACTCAAGTTCAGGAAAAATGCCCAGTCTCTTTCCCAGCCCGCCATCTCTCAGCTGACAGTTTCTCACAGTCTCTCTCCCAGCTATGCGTGTCTCTCAGTGTGTCTGTCAGCAATGCATGTCTCTTGCGTCTCTTCCCCAGCAGCATGTGTCTCTCAGGAACGTGTGTCTCTTTCAGCAACATGTCCTTCTTAGCCAGCAGTCAGAGAGACCTCTGCCTCTAGGAGGCCTCCTTTTGAGCCCACCAGAGTGGCCAAACCAAGCAATCGTAACATCAGAATTCTAAGCACCTGAGAGAGGGAACCTCCCAGAACATTACTTTGTGCTGCTCCCAACAGAAATACCCCAGGTGGATGATTTTAACAATTAGGAGCTACTCAGTTTCTCACAGTAAATTCCACCATGGAGTTTACAAAGACTTATGGCTAAAAGAGCCATGCCAGGTAATTTACTACAGCGCATTATGAGACTATTATTATACAGACCCACTGCCATTGCGTTTGTTCGAATTCATAGGGACCCTTTTGGGAAGAGTAGAAATAACTGCCCCATAGTTTACCGAAGGCAGTAATTTTTATACAAGCCAAATTTTTCCCACAGAGAGTCTGGTTAGCAGTCAAATGGTTTAACCACGATGCTGGCCACCAAGAGGAAAAAAGAAAACTCACAACCATCATACTGATTCATAGTGGTATAGTGACTCCCATTGGTTTTCTTGGGCTGTATATCTTTTTGTTTGTTTAATTTTTAGTATGATTTGGCTGAAAGTTTACAGAGAAATTCATTTTCTGTA